GTCAATATCAAGCTCGGGTACGTCTGATATAACTTCCTCAAACAAATGACCAATGTTCTAGCACTGACTTACGTTGTGTACGAGGTGGTTGGGAATCAACAAAATTTTTCTTTCTTTTCTTTTTTTTAAATTTTACAAAAATGTCTTTATGTTATTGACACGAAATATTCTAAGCTAACAGACAGAAGTAAGACAATATTTTGAAATACGGAATTCTTTCTCTGATTTTCAATGTAACAACATCACGTCATCCGTTACGTAGTCAAAAGCAAGCTCGGGTTCTATACCACCAGCAGGAAAAAGGCGTGCTTTTAAGATAAAAATAAGTATATTCTGTGTTGGTATTTGTCACTGATTCTTGTTAAAAAGTATGTTTAAAAAAAAAGCAAATCAATACAACAGAAAATTTACATTGAAGGAGACCTATGTTAAAGAGCCGAACCCACTCCTCGACAGATATTATTTTATACATAGGGAAATCTACCATAATTATGAACACATCATCAATAGCGAAAAGGACGATAATAATGCTAACAGGAAGAGCTGCTTTATTACGTGTAAACATGTTCCAATCGGGTCTTTTCGTGATGCTCGCTAAGTATTTGGAATAATTTATTTTGTGACTTCAATTGTAATTCCTGACCAAATTTTCCAAATGGACAGACACTATTAAGACGTGTCGCCTTACGTCATGGACAGAATGGAACCTACTGGATGGTAATCGTTATCGTCCCAGCACTGACGACAGAAACACAATCATGATGACCTAATTATTATACGTCTAATCGATTAAATATAGTAAAAGTTGCTTTTTTCGAGGACGACGTAAAACTCCGAAAAATAGATGATTTGCAAGGAATATACATAGAATAGACTTCCAAGTATTGCCTGTTTACTGGTTTAATGAAAATACATTCAGTATGTTTCAAGGTTAAGTGAAACTGCTAATATTTAAACCACAGAAAAATGTGACTGGTTTTATAGTGACAGGAATACGTTTGAAATACGAAATTTTTTCTCTTATTTTCAAAACTTTTACAACAACACGTCATCCGTTTTGTACGCCAATATCAAGCTCGGGTACGTCGGATATAACTTATCTCATATCTACCCGTTTACTGTTTATTTATTCCCTTTGTTTACAAAACGTAATAATTAATTTATCAGACCGCGTGGATAAGGCGTCCGACTTCGAATCGGAAGATTGCGAGTTCGAGTCTCGTCGTGGTCGGTTATATTTTACTTAAAATGTAACATACCTTTATCAGTTGAGTTATATTCACAGGAATAGCTGACGCCGTAACAATATAACACCCCATTATATTTTGATAACAGACCAATCAATATAAAAAACCATCCCTAATCAATAGCCCTCTTACATTATACAATCCTGAAATTAACCGATAGTCACATATAAAAAGGTAAGAAATTTTCCAATATAAAATTCCAGATAAAGTTCAAAAGTCATCATGGTCAGACAATGATAGTGAAATACTATTATATATCCTGTAACCCCAGTATCAACCCGCCATTCTATGATGGTGGGAGTAATAAATACGATAGGAGTTCCCTGGGACGTGTAATCGTTATTACACGTCCCTGGACTTCCTTATACGATATTTAGTTTTTTTTAAAAATTAAAATGACAACAGTCCTCGCAATTTTAACGGTGAAACTACCACACACAACCAACATCGAACCTACCTAACTTCACATCATGCATGGCTGTTGAATATGTCTAAGTGAGATTGTCATTGCGACCATAACGCTTTTACATAATCGTTCCAAGTTCTTATATAACTCAATTAGTAGAATATTTGAGTGTAACGTTTCGATGGCTACACAGTCACCTTCATCAGACAAATGACCAGTGTGGAGCGTACTAGCACAGATGTACGTAATGTACGGTGTGAAAAGGAAATCGACCGACCTTTTCTGCTTCACTTTAATTCTATGTATACTTAGGTAAACAGAATATAGAAAAAAATCACAAAATGGTAACATAGCAATGTATAGTAGTCAGTTCGGTTACGCTTTGTTGAGCACTTGTTTTATACATAAAATGTACATGTAGATGTGCGAGATATTGTGGACCCCGTCGTCCCTGTTCAGTAACAAATCAGTTTCAGAATTACCTGTTTGTCAGATACCGACATTTATCAGAGAAAACATTGTAAAGGTAACACAATCTATAATATGGAATCAACTGTGGTATTATTACTACATTTTTACCAAAAAACATAATGTTCATACCGTATAGCTGGCAATTTTCACGGGTCGAAATTTTCACAATTTTCTTTTAAAACGAACGAATAGGAATTTCGAAATCTGGACGTAGAACGACGTATTATACACACGGGTTTCATTATTTCACGGATTAGATTTTCGCGATCATATTAATGTATCGCGAAAAATCGAAAATATCTCCCCCACGAAAATAATCGGCTATACGGTATGAGGACTACTGAAATAACTAAAATTGTATTATCATGTAGTAAGAGAATGACAGGGAAAAGAAGAATTCAGTCTCATTTGAATGGTTATATTCTTAATCAAACGGAACGTTGTAGAACGTTTTCCCCATGTACAATCTTTTAAAGGGATATTTGGGAATGCGTATTGTAATTAATGTAAATTGTTTTATCCTTTTGCATGGTCCTTAAGAAACTTTACGACAAATAATTAGGGTAGTGTCTGATTTAACTTGTCTTTCTTTTAAAATTGACTAAAAGGTATTTATTTTGTTGACGGGAAATATGTTAAGCTAGCACACATAAGTAAGACATACGTTTGAAATACAGAATTATTTTCAAAAAAGTTTCAACATCACGTCATCCGTTATGTTAGTCAATAGCAAGGTCGGGTTCTATACTACCAGCAGAAAAAGGCGTGGTTTTTTAAAGATAAAAATATGTATATTCTGTGTTGATATTAGTCACTGTTTCTTGTTAAAATTATGTTGTTTTTTTTCAAATCAAATCAATACAAGAGATTTATTTTACATTTAAGGAGACCTATGATAAGTATCGTTGAACCGTCAACAACAAATACGTTGTATATTTGTTTGTTCGTTTTGTTTACATAAATAACTTGTAACAGACCGCGTGGCCTAATGGATAAGGCGTCCGACTTCGAATCGGAAGATTGCGAGTTCGAGTCTCGTCGTGGTCGGCTTCATTTTACCTCAAAGCTAGATTAGCTTTGCATTAAATTGAATTATATTCACAGGAAAAGCTGTCGCCTTAACAATATCACATTCCAGGAATTGATGATACCGGAACATAGAGGGCAATAGAATGAATGATCGGGATCACTTATCTTCATATTATGAATACAGACCAATCAATATAAAAACCATCCCTAATCAAAAGCACACTAACACTAAACAATCCTAAAACTAAGGAGACCTATGATAAGTATCGTGGAACCGTAAACAACAAATACGTTGTATACTAATACAATACTTTACTAATATTCTGAAGGAACTGTTATTACCTGTAAGTGTTGTTTCGTATCCTCGACGTTATTGTAAGAAAAAAGGTACAGAAACTGACAATAAGTCATGGTTTAATGAACTTTGTAAACTAAGATACTCTGAATATAAAAGGGCTTTATTTGATTTTAATTCTTGTAAGAATGAGGAAACTCATTAAGTACTTGTCTGTAAAAAACGTAGCTATAAGAAACTGGAAAGGAAACTGAAGCGGGAGTACAAAACGCATCAAGGTAATATGCTGAGCTTTATGAGGAAAAATAATCCTAAACATTTTTACAGAAATTTCAGGAAAAAAAAAGAATAATGTAAATAGGTGTATCCTTGGTGAACATGATTTTTTTTCAACATTTTTGTAATTTGTCGTCTACTGAATATAGAGAAAATGAAACAGTGAGTGAGTTTTTGAAGAATTATGATTCTAATGTATCAGACGATATCATGCACGAGTTAGATGTTGATATTTCTGAAGACGAAGTTGTTAGCGTTATTGGCAAATTAAGTACTGATAAAACGTGTGGTCACGATTTGCTAATTAACGAGTTTTTTTTTTATCAAAGGTAAAGAAATTTTAATTCCTTGTCTTGTAAAATTATTCAATAATGTTTTTAAATCTGGAATATATCCTTCTATTTGGTCAATAGGTAATATTGTACCTATATATAAGAAAGGAGATACACACGATACTAATAACTACAGAGGAATTACCCTGGTAAGTTGTCTAGCCAAAATATTCACTGCAACCTTAAATAATCGATCGATGGAATTCGATACCGCTTACTCAAAAATATCTGATGCCCAATTCGGTTTTAGAAAAAATATGTCTACAACAGATGCTATATTTGTTTAACAATCATTAATTAGTAGAACTTTGAAAAATAAAAGGAAACTATACTGTTGTTTTATAGATTATAAGAAAGCGTTTGATTATGTAAATAGGCAAAATTTATGGTACAAGCTTATTAAAGAAGGTGTGGAGGGTAAAATGTTAAATATTATACGTGCCTTGTACAATGATATAAAATGTTGTTAGATTTAATGATTTTTTTGTCCGATTTCTTCAGTTGTAAGAACGGATTGTTTCAAGGCGAAATAATGTCGCCGATTTTATTTTCCTTATATATTAACGATTGTGAGATGCACTTTTTAACAGAAAATTGTCCTTCAATTAAACTTCAAACTATTAATCTATTTTTATTAATGTATGCAGATGATATGATATTATTAGCTGAATCGGCAGAAGGATTGCAAAAAAATGGAAGCATTTGTAAGAAAAATTATTTCAATATTGAAACTGAGAATGTATGATTTGGGTCAAATTTGGCCCCCTCTTCAAATTTGATGAAATACCTATACTGAGTAAGGATAGTAACGTAATTAATGAATTGGGGGATTTTAGCATGTTTTCTTTCTCGGCGCATGCGTAGCGGCACTTCAAATATAGGTGTCACACCAGTATTTTTTAAGAGAAAAATGACACAAAGCATTACAAAAAGATTCTGTAACTTTTAATTATCATACAAATATGCTGCTTAATATTGATGTAATTAAATCACTTATGGAAGTTATCAACTAATGGGTTTTGCTAGCAAAGGCTTAAATTAAACTTTTAATATATTTACATTTGGTACCTTAGCAACGAATTATATCACATAGCAACGGCATGGCTATAAGATTTATTACTGGTAACAACATTTTCTATCGTCCGAACTTGTGTAATGGAAACAAATCATAGCATATGTGACATAATTATATGGACTAACTTTTTTTACAAAGGTATTATAATGCAAACATTTGGGAAGTGACAATAATTTCCCTAGCAACAGAATGTGTCGCATAGCAACAACAATACCTTATATTGATAACAACATTTTCTTTCCAGTTTCAAGATTTTTCTTCTGCTGTACTTAATGAAAACAAAATATTTCTCATGTTTTCAGTAGCTAAACTTTCTGATAAAGGTATCACAATATAGATATTAGAGTATTGATCAAAGTTGGTGCCTTAGCAAAGTATTCTTACACATGGCAAGAATATGACCTAAACTGTTATTTTTTTTTATACTGTTTCAATGTTTTTTATTGTACGTTATTTAATGAAAACAGATCATTATCACTTTACATGGACTAACCTTTTCTTACGAAATATGTATAATATAAACATTTTGATACAGATCAAAGTTAGTACCCTAGCAACAGAGTCTATCACATAGCATACCTGTAATTGTTAACATATTCTTTTCTGTTACAATATTTTTCCACTTGTTACTTGTTGAAAGCGAAACACTTATCACATAATTTCATTGGTAAAACATTTTTGTTATAAAGGTATACTAGTGTACACAATATAAAAAATTGATTATTAATCAAAGTGTACAACAAAGTCTATCACATAGCAAGAACATCACCTGAAGCTGTTATCGGTTTCTATTTTGCTTCATACTTCTGCACTGGTGCTTTTGAAAGCAAAGCATATTCGAAGCATATAATCAATGTATAACCTTTGGTTTTGTTAACAGAATTTAACAAACATGAAAATGAACAAGTGATAAGTGACTTCAAATTATATCTACTTTAAATACATATAGTGTTACAGTTTATTCCTCTGGATACTCCTCATCCGTGTCGGAATCTGTTGTTGGAATGTCAGCTGCATCAGCCAAAGACTTTGTCGAAATAGTCACTGCCCCAGATGATTTGCCTTGGAAGCGTTCATATCCTAGAAACCACAATGCACTTGCAATGTGGGCACAGCAACCGACCACTCTTGAGCCTACTTTACAAGTGCAGTACCAACCTTTGATGGGATCATCAGAGAGTGAGTCATACTCAATCCACAAAGAATGTGCTCTGCTGTTACAGTGTCGAGACTGTATTTTTAACTTGATCAGATTAGGGTTTTCTGAGAAGACCAGCAACTCATACAGTCCATCGTCAACACAGTGCTCCTTTTTATAACTTGGAGCCTGTTTAAGTTGATAAACTCCCATGGTGATGTTTCGTAAGTCATCCATGGAAAGTTTAGGGAAGTCCATCAAGTCTTCTGCTTCCAGCTTTTGATAAACAGTTCTCTTATTTAGTAAGTTGTTGCTTTCCAAAAATGCTTTCACTGTATTTGGTTCCTTGGACTTTGCAAGCATTGCCCTGCAATGTGCTTCTGATGTTGCGTCAGTTTTCACAAGTGGTTCTTTAAACCTGTTGATAAGAGCACAGATGATTCTCACAAAGTCACCAATAGAAGGGATCAGGGTATTTGGAACAACTTTGTCAAACAGTTTCCATTGTTTTATCCTGCCATTCACGCTTTCTACCACCCATCTGACTTTTGTGACTAAACGTGAAAGGTTCGCCTCTTCGGTGCTGTGCTGCTTGCAGCCTTTCTGAAGATAGAAGGGCATTTTCACATCGAAACCTCGGTCTTCTAAAAACCTCACAGCGTCCCTAAACCCCCTGTCTACAATGAATATGTCGCCGGGTTTGAACCACTTGCTAGCTTCCTCATTTGCCTTAAGCATGTGTTTTGTAATGGAGGCATCGTTGTTTGAGCCATCAGCCAGGTAAGGTCCGAGCACATCCAGAATGTAGCCATCTGTTCCTACAAGCATCATTGGTTTAACGAGTGGTCTGTTCTTGTGCATAGAATAGGACCTCCTTTGGAATTTGTAGTCTGCACTCTTCTGGATGTAAACATAGGTGCCATCAGCAACAACAATAGCCTCGTTTTCGCCTGGTTGGAACAATGATTTTGCTATATTTGTAGTGTGGTTTTGAACAAAGTCTCCATGAGATATGTGTTGAAATCCAAGGTTATCTGGTACAAAATCTTCCACTAAGGCATTCCTTGTGCTGTTCACTATACGCTGGATTTGTGAATATGTTAAATGAAATAGCACACCAATTAACTTGTTGGACAATCCACTACGTAATTTAAAGAGAAACACAGCTAGACATGTCCGGATTGACCTAACTGCTGAATTATTAAGTGATGTCAAATGAGTGACAATTTCGTCAAACTGCTGTTTGGTAAATCCTGTCAATGTTACATAATCTTCATTGGTTAAAAATGATGGCACATCGAAATTCAAATGTCCAGAATGTGTAGACAGCATCCTTCGGACTCCGGAGAGAAGACCTGTAATATCACTTCTTGAAAACCAGTCATTTGATTTCTTGGTTCCAAGTAATGCCAACGCATTTTCATTCTACCTTCATTTTTTATGTGAATTAGTTTCAAATAAATGTGTTCATTGTTTACTTCTCAGATAATTGTTCTCAATATGGCTCTCACAACATCTACTATGGGGGTGTATGAATATACCACATACTATGAAGGCCTGAGTAGATCCTTGTTGTGGGATGTTGGTTAAATGGTTTCTTTGGTTTGCATCTTTATGACATACAATACATGATTTATGAGATTTTGATGTTGCGGGAAGGTTCAAATTAATAGTTTTAGGACTCGACAGTGTCTTTTTCTTTGGCGGCTGAGAAATGTACTCGTCATCATTAGTATTTACAGGTGTCTGGTGAAATATTGGAAGACTCCTATACACTCGTGCCGTACATGTCGCGCATATCATGTCATTGCTACTCACGTCCCTGCCAACACATCGCTCCACATATCTTTTAAAGGCCACGCCAGGTGGGATATGCCTTCTGGAATTTGGTTTACACCTTTTGAAGCACAAGCAACATGGGGTGTCTTTTGGCATCTGGAAAGAAATATTTGATAAGTATATTAATACTTTATACCAACCATATGAATCACGGTAACGTAGAAAAGTATAAAAAGAATATATAAACATAAAAGTGACAACTTTTTATGTGGAACTCAAAAGAATGTGTGTTCTATACATTGTATAAGAAATTAAAAGTTGTAAACATAGATATTATATTCATATTTAAATTACATAACATATTTTTGTCATAATTGATCAATAATTACACATTATTTAGTGAATATGTTGTTAAGTTTTTTACAATGAAATTAAGAAAAAATAATAAAAAGGAACAGGCACCAGCACAACTGTAACTCACACAAATGTCGATAAATGTTTGTGAAATATGGATTGTCAACAAGATTTGAACTCACAGTTTAATTAATATTACAAATGTTATTTTCTTAATGTGAAAAAAATAAAATGTTGCTAAGCACTTTCAAGAACAGACTACATGGTTGCATTTTAAATTAAATTAAGAATAGGTATTTTTTTATTTGAAATCAAAATAAATAAATAAGAGTTGTCAACAGGATCTGAAGTCAGAGCTTAATTAATTACACAAATAGTTTTAATTAATGTTAAAAATAATAATGTGTTGCAAAGTTCTCGCTAGAAAATATGTATTATAGTTTTGTATCTTAAATTGAATATAAAAAAAAAATAAAAAATAAAAAAAAAAAAAAAATCAATGGTCATCAGGATTGGATCCCATAATTGCGGTGCTTATGCTCCTGAGCCAACCCTCACACCACTACACCACGGAACAGCATATGCAACTGGAAGTTATTTTGAAAGTATATATACACCGACTATGTTGGCTTTCTCTCTGGCTGTTTCCAAGACAATGAGTATAAATAGATGCGCTCTTTCATTTCTATTTTTCCTTAGTTAATAAAACGAATATTTTTCAGACAGAAAGAAGACATTTTCAGTGGACTTCAACAAGACACACAGTCTCTGTTGAAGTTTATAATGAATTACTCTTGAATTTATTGTGAGCTCGCCTTCAGTCCAGACGACACTTCACCGTTTGTTCGGCGATCAACATCGACAACATTCAAGCTGGGCTTGGCAGCACAGAATAATACTGTTTCAGAACTTTAAAAAGTATTGAGATACCTTTAAATAGATTTTATTGTTAATAAATGACATTTGAATAAATTTTTTAACAAACATCACACAAAGTTAGTGGATTTTTTGCCGTCTACCTGTATTGGGGCATCTGTCAACCAGACGTAAAACTGATGATGCAATCAAGTGTTGCAGACGTCCGATGAATAAAAAAAACTATTCATTTTTTATATCACATCAGTTAAAAATTTTTGCTAACAAGAACAAATCTTACCTTTCTTGGTTGTGAAAAATTAAGGAATTGTTGGTTTTAACTCCATCATTTGAGTGTTTCTGCTGCAGTAAACAAAAATATCGATAGCGGCGACGTCCGTTTTCCGTGTTCCGGACCATATATTACACGCGATCTTGCATCAAAATGCCGAAAAATAATTTTAAAAATTAATTTTTTAATATGAGCGCAGTCTTGAACAAGTTTTTCCTTTTAACACAATGACTTTATTAAAATTTTTATTTTGTAGCATCAATATGAAACTTGTTCAAGCCTGCGCTCATGGTAAACTTCAGTAAAATGTACCCACGAAATGGGGGAAATCACCGATTTTCGTGTTTTTTGTCAATTTTCAAACAGCTATATTAAAAAATTGGTGATATTTTTTAAATCTTGAAAACAATTCTAGAATCATGGACACTTCCATTATTAAATGTCTTCACTCTTTTGATTTTCTGAGACAGTTTTTCTCAGTAAAATATTGGGGGTACATAGGTACCCAAACCATACATACTGAGTCTCGTCGTGGTCGGTTTCATTTTACCTGAAATGTAGTTTAAGTTTGCATTAAGCAACCAGTTGAGTTATATTCAACATAACAATATCACTACCCCAGAAATTGACTTCCGGAACATAGAGTCCATTGAGTAAGTTCGTAAGTTCGTTATGAATATTCGCACAAAGGTAAAATTGAATTCAAAGGCAATATGAATAGGATGCTGAATATGGTAACAGATCTGAACGAATTGACGAGAGTTTAGTACATTACTATAGCTATAAATGTGTATATCAACACACTGTGCATTGACCGACCTATACAATTTTTTTCAAGGAGAATCTAGAGACTCCCGTATGATACAGTGGAAATGATTTATGTATTATACTACTGAATTAATCACCACTGTCTTTTTAATGCGGCATTGATTTATATTGTTTGTCCCCCTCTTTTTTAAACTATGTTATGAAATTTAAATAATTAAGAAAACTGATTTTTAATTGTTTTTATTGTTCTATTTGTAATCAGGATACATTTTACTTTAACATTACTTAAGGGTGTTAACATTGAAATACAGTTGTAACATACATTTCCTTTAATTACTTAATGTATATGATATGGGGCAAACCCACGATGCTTGACATCTTGGAGTTTGGCAACCCCTACTCATGCTTTTCATCACTGATAACTATATATATATATTTTTTTTATATTTTTAGCATAAGATATGTTTGTCTGCTAGTTTTGATACGAACAATTCCATGCAGCATTTTAAAAAAATTGCCATTATTATGCTTAAGTATTAATATGTTTGAGAATAAGTATTAATCTGTTTGTGAATAAGTATTAACCTATTTGAGAAGTATTGATCTGTTTGTGAATAAGTATTGATCTGTTTGTGAATAAGTATTGATTGTTTGTGAATAAGTATTAATCTGTTTGAGAATAAGTATTAATCTGTTTGTGAATAAATATTAATCTGTATGTGAATAAGTATTAATATGTTTGAGAATAAGTATTGATCTGTTTGACAATAAGTATTAAATTGTTCGAGAATGAATATTAATATGTTTGAGAATAAGTGTTAACCTGTTTGTGAATAAGCATTAATCTGTTTGTGAATAAGTATTGATCTGTTTGTGAATAAGTATTGATTGTTTGTGAATAAGTATTAATCTGTTTGACGATAAGTATTAAATTGTTTGAGAATAAATATTAATCTGTTTGTGAATAAGTATTAATATGTTTGAGAATAAGTATTGATCTGTTTGACAATAAGTATTAAATTGTTCGAGAATAAATATTAATATGTTTGAGAATAAGTGTTAACCTGTTTGTGAAATACATTAAAAGTCACCATACGGTGACCATATTCATTCACGCCTTTTTCCCTTGATTTATGTGACAAGATGGAGGATGCATCACTGAGTGTTTATATCTTATGAATAATGACTTTTTCTGTAAAAAAGATTATCCGTTAGTCATTAAATATCCAATATCAGCTGAATGATGGTGTTTAGGTGTTTTTATACATTTATTATAAAAGAGTAGATTTCGTTTTTCAGTTTTCAATCAGAAGATATATTTCGAATGTGTGCGTTTCGTGCTGTCTTAGTTTAGATCAATTTTATTGCAAAAAAAAGACAACTGGATTGTATAAAAGTTATTTCAACTTACTTACGTCCATTCCGTAACAAATAGATACATCTAAAATCAGTTTATCACGCCATAGCTAAAGATTAAGTTATACATATATATATGAAAGAATTCGAGTTTATGGTGAGGCTACAGCAATATAGGACAGATTAGGATAAGGGACACCAACGGACAAAACATGTACGTGGATGATATATTGGAGACCACGTCTGTGATTTTCCTAAAATCGGCATACGTATAAAATTATTCTCTACATATATATAACTTTCTGCTTTTCTACAGTTTATCATATACGTGCAGTGCCTTTCTCATTTATCTGGAAAACCGGATACGTGTTTTTTATTTACAACTGAGACTTGAGTGAATTTGATTGTTTTGAAAATTACTCGTGTTTCTAAGAATATAATAATAGACAATAGAAGGTGGTAATGATTTTGAATACAATGGACCATTATTGTTATAAATATTATAAAACATGGATCATGGTCTATTCTTACACCCATCTGCTAATGACTGACACTCAATTTCCCTGTAAATATTTTTATTCGTGAAAACTATTTTGGTGCAGTTATCCCATACTTCACAGGCATGTTCAAAGAGTGGTCTTATAAAAACAAGATATACTTTTCCCGAAGTCTTTTCGATCCTTGTCTGGCTATATTGTATACCCTAAAACATGATGTCTTATTGTCCGTTTTCGTATATCATTAAACTCCATTTGAACACCTTGATTCAATAACCTAATAAACAATTTTAATGGTAAACTTATATACCTGACATAGGGTTCTCAATAATCAATTTTAATGGTAAACTTATATACCTGACATAGGGTTCTCAATAATCAATTTTAATGGTAAACTTATATACCTGACATAGGGTTCTCAATAATCAATTTTAATGGTAAACTTATATACCTGACATAGGGTTCTCAATAATCAATTTTAATGG